ATATTGTTAAGAAACCTGAAAACTTTGATATATCTAATAACCTTAAGAAATTGGAATACATTATTTAAATTACATATCTTCAGCAACATAAATATTAATACTTCAAATTATGGTGGATATTCTTGTTTTATTTTTTTTAATATAAATATAATGTGTTAGTGAATAGAAATTAAAATATAAAATGAATTGTATAATATTTTATTTATAATATTTCAATTTTAAAATATAAAGTTTACAATACTTTTAGAAAACATTTTTACGTTTATTTATCTACAACCATCCGCAACCACAAATGTTATCCGAAATCATTTTTAATTTTAAAAGTGTGGAACAATTTTTGAAACAATTTATAATATTTTGTAATCATTGTAAAATGCCAACGATTCTATTTTAGTAGAACTGTCCAAATGCAGTTGAATATTTATTTATTTATATTTTACAACATAATGAGAATAATAACAAATATGTTGTATTACCGGGCGATAAAAAATAATATAAACTATTTTTTCATACCAATTAGTTAGACAGGTTTCTTGTGGATTTTCTTTTATTATATTTTACAACATATATTTACAGTGGGCTATCATAAAATTATAATAGATAATTGGTAATAAAAATAAACTAATCCAATTCAAACAATTAGTTTTGTTAATAGATTCATAATCTACAAATCATATCATCTTTTTGGAAAAACTAAAAATTTAACTTCCAAATTAGAATACAAACAAATTCTAATAATATAACTAAAAATGATAATTAGAAGTTATGTATTGTTTCAACCCGTGGTTTAACTAGTAGGTCGGATTATGGGTTTTAGCGGATTTTAATTAATCTACAAATCATATCATCTTATTTTATTATACAAACTAAAAATTTAACTTCCTAATTAGTATACAAACATATTCTAATAATATAACTTTTAAAAAATAATTAAAAATTATGTCTTGATTCAACTAGTAGTCAGGTTCTAGGTTTTAGTAGGTTTTACTATATTATTAAATAATGATTTTTTTCCGAAAACTCAAACCGGATTACATACCGGATCAACAGATTTAACAATTCAACCGCGGATCCGGATCGAGTTTCAAAACACTGGGTACAAGTGTATAGCTATGCAATATCACAAATTCTGTACAATTATCAAAACCTCTTACTAATAATTTTTTAAAAATGGTATACACATATATGATTACAAAAAAAAACATAAAAACTAAATTTTTAGAAAAAATTAAAACAAAAAATATACTTGAGAATCTAGTTGTCTATTACAATATGTACCTATTGACAACTCCAAGTTATGTCTCGCTATAAGTAGTGTTCTTTGATCTATTAGTAGAAGACGTATAAACCTTTTGCTGTTTGACGTATAACAGCTGGTATTGCAACATCAGCTGATGATGCTCTCACTACAAGAAAACAGAAGGATACCGACGGCCAAAACCGTCGGAAATCCGTCAGAATAGGCGTATTCCGACGAAACCGTGACGAAGTTGTTCGTCGGTATCATTTTATCGGAAAAAAAAATTTCGTCGGAAATCCGTGACAATTTCCGACGAATTCCGAGAGACTGTAATTCTGACGAACTACCGACGACGAAATCCATCGGTTTATTCCGACGAAATATGTCGTCGGTATATTCCGACGAAATATGTCGTCGGTATATACCGACGCCTGCTTTCGTCGGAATATACCGACGACATATTTCGTCGGAATAAACCGATGGATTCCGACGACCTATGTCGTCGGTAAGTTTGATTTAATTTTTTTTAAAAAAAATTTATATTAATTTTTCATTTTAAAACTTTTGTTTTAAATTCGTAAATAAATGTAATTTAAAATTAAAAACTTATAATATTATAGAATTTAAGTTTACACAACTGATAATAAAAAAAAACAATTCAGAAAGTTTTAATTTAAAATGTATTGTAAGTTTTTTAATGTTAAAATGTTCATAATATATGTATAAAAATTCTAGATTCTAATTTTTTATATAATCACAACTATATCTAGAAAACTTTGTTAAATATTAAAAAATAGACATTTATAAATATATAAAAAAGTTCTTAAGTGTATATTAAATATTAAAAAATATCTAAAATGTTCACAATATATGTATAAATATTCTAAAATTCTAAGTTTTTCATATAATTACAAATTTATCTAGAAAATTTTTTAAATTTTTAAAAATAGACATTTATATATATATATATATATATATATATATATATATAATTAAAATAATTGTAAAAAAGTACTTAAGTATATAAAATATTATAAAATAAAATAAAAACGTTTTTAATAATTATAAAAAACAATAAAAACGTTTTTAATAATTATAAAAAACAATAAAAACGTTTTTAATAATTATAAAATAAAATAAAAACGTTTTTAATAATTATAAAAAACAATAAAAACGTTTTTAATAATTATAAAATAAAATAAAAATGTATGTTTCTATATTAGAAATATGGTTTTTACATATAGAAAAATTATTTATAAACCTTCATAAATATAGAAAAATTTGTTAAATATTTCTAAAAATATTGTAAAACACATAAATACAATTATTAAATATAAAAAAACATATTTAGTAGTTATAATATTACTGGAAAACCCAAAAACGTTTTAAAAAAAATTAAAAAACGTTTTTTAAAATTAGAAAACGTTTTAAAAATTAAAAACAATTCTCAAAAATCAAACCTTTAAGTTTTTACAACCTCAAATCTAACATCTTAAACCCTAATTTTATCCTAATCCTAAACATCCAAATTAAACCTAAACTATCCAATCAAATCTAACATCTTAAAACCCTAATTTCCGGATTAAACCCTAATTTAATCTAATATACAAAGGAAGAGATAGCTTACATGATGGAGAAACGTGAGGAGAGGAAGGATCTCGCCGGAAAAATCAGAGCCGCCGCCGGAGGAAAGAGGGGAGAGAGGAGAGGAGAGCCGCCGGAAGAGGGGAGAGAGGAGAGGAGAGGAGAGATGCCGGGAAGAGGGGAGAGAGGGGAGGAGAGGAGAGCCGCCAGAGAGGGGAGAGAGGAGAGGAGAGGATTCGCGAGAAGAGAAGAGAGGAAATAGGAAGAAGAAGGAAAATTAGGGTTTTTGTATATTAAACCGACCGACGGAACCGGTTTCGTCGGTATTCCGTCGGTCAAAAATTAATTCGCGGTTTAGTGAAAATTTCACGCGATTTGGTTTCCCGGGTAAATAAATTACCCAATTCGTCGGAAATCCGTAGGAAAATACCGACGGATTTCCGACGATATTTGATATTTAAAAAAAAAAAAAATTCTCTAAAAAATAATATAGAAAGTATAACTAAAAATAATCCATATATTTGTTAATAAATAGAGTATTTGAATAAGGATTGAGTATAAAAAAATATTTATAACACAATTTTTTTTAAAATAGTTTTAGTATTGTAAGATTGGATTAATATGATTTTATAAGTGTATGAGTATAATTAAGATGATATGTTATGAAACTATGATACATATATATATGTATTAATTTATAAGTCGTAAAACCCGAATGTTTGCGATCAAGTAGTATACTCCACACTTATTACGTGTTTTTAACATAGTTTCGGTATACAAATTTACATATAACTATAGTTAAGGATTTTTAAAAAATCAGTCGTC